GCCTTGGGAATCCTACATATAGACACCTGCCTCATATGCCTAGAGTTACTGCCTTTGCCGTCTGCTGTTTGAACCTCAATGCTCAGTCTGCACATGAAGCTAACGAACAGCCTCTGCCTTTGGGTTTACTGAGGAGATGAATGAAGGTGGGCATTTCCAGCACTTGGGAGTGCCCCTTTTGAGACAGGTCTATGCACCATACCATGTCAGCAGCTCTTCTGTCTAAAGCTGGATCAGGCCATTCATGATGCAAAATGCAGCAAGTAACACTCCTCTACCCTTACCTCTGTCCACATGGAGTCCTTCATCTTGGCTCAGGGCTGAACCAGCCACCTTTCCTGAGGAGGCAACCCCCAGCTGCAACTGCCAGGGAGCCCTACGCCTTTGTTAGCCAGCTCTGGACTCTGGCATGTCACGCAACCTCAAGTCTCCAGGAAGCCCAGTCCCATGAAGTGAATAAAGTACTTGTGTGGCTGGACTCCTAGGAGAGCATGAAGCCCAATGGCCCAGTTCAAACTGGAGCACCTGCAAAATCAACTGGAAGGTCTGTTACAAATGCAAATTCCTGGGCTCACCCCACCCCAGTAACTGATAAAGCAGCTCTGTGGCTAGTCCAGATAATGTGCCTTTCTTGTAAAGGTTTATTATTTATTCGAAAGTCAGAGTTAACAGAGAGAAAAAGATAGACAGAATCTTCCATCTATTGGTTCACTCCTCAGGTGGCTACAACAGCCAGGGCTGGGCCAGGTGAAAGCCAGGAGCCAGGAGCTTCTTCCAGATCTCCCATGTGAGCGCAGGGGCCAAGGACATGGGCCATTTTCTTCTGCTTTCCTAGGTGCATTAGCACGGAGATGAGCAGCTGGGATTCAAACTGGAGCCTGTATTGCATCTGCTCGCTTGATGCTGTTACAGTGCTACAGTGCGTTGCTGGGGTACATGACATGAAGGTGTGAAGAGAACAGCTCCCCTATTGGCAAGGTTGCAAAGAGCTTCCAGTATATGACAAGGCCCGGTAGATGTTTTTCTAACCACCTCGACGCAGTCTCACCCCCTTTGCCTGGACACTCAACCACCTCGCTAAGAATTCTGTAATCTATTGAGGCATTGTTGTTTGCTCCTGTGAGATGGGTTTTGCAACTAATGTGAGCTTAGGAGTTAATGTTGCCGATAATGTTGGTGAGTGGGACTGCAATTTACACACAGGAGTAAAATTAAGCCAATGCTATTTCTGGACACCTTATTGTGTGCCTACCCATTGCCTCGGAATCTGGCCCAGACATGTAGCACGCCTTCTGGGAAAGGCTTGATAAGTATCCTAAAAATCAAAGTGACAGGAGTATGAGCTGAAACTGCTATGGTGATAAATACAGTTACTGTGACCTTAAAGGCTAGCCTGTCTTTGTAATTTCTTTGGAGCATAGGAAATGCATCTGCTTTCGCAACTCTTATAATCTTTTAGCTAGAGGAATTAAAGGATGCTTTTATTAATATCATAGAGATATGCTTGTAATTATTGTTGGACTGTTTACGGGGTTGTAGAGCCTGTAGTTGTAGGAGGGCTTAATATTTGAAACTTTTGCCTTGGACATTTATGTTTTTTCTCTTTTGATGTATTTCTCCCATTAAGCGATAGGTCCGTTGTAGAAGTAGAAATGTGGTGGGAATGTGTTGCTAATTAGCAGGTAACCGCATGTGCCTTGGCCTTGGAGTTCTGGCTGTCGCCTAATGGCCACTACTGAACAATGAATAATGGCTGGCTTTGAAGAAAATGATTATAGTAACTTCCAGAATTATCTCTAAGAGCACCTGGTTAACCATGAAGTAAAAAATAAAATAATCAAACATCTGTGCATGCCGGCTGAGTCCTGAAGTTAAAAATAGAACAATCAAATGTTTGTGCAGAGGATTGTGATGTGTCTGAGTAAATAACAAGGACAGCTTCTTGAGCTGTTAACAGAGGGCACCAAGAGGCAGTGTCTGTGTCTCACGGTCTTCTGGAGCTGGCCTCTGGCAGTGCACTTCTCGTAAATGCCCAGGACATGCTGATGCTGCAAGTACTCAGCCACAGCCTAAGATGCAACGGCATGCAGTTCTGAGCACTGAACCGGTGCACCAAAAGCATTCAACAAGTGCACACAAGCCACCCTACAACTGTGATGCCCACAGCAAGACTTCAGCAACGCCTTTGTGGCATTCGGCCTCCTCCCAGGAGCCTCCAGCCTGAGCATCCACAAGGCTTGTGGTGTTGTCACCTATGGGTGGTTTCTGGCTGTGGCAGTTACTGCGATGCCAGTGCATGTGCAGGGAAGCTGAGGCACACCAAGGAGGTACCTGCTAAGTAGCCTTGGCTGGAGGAGGAAAGAACCAACCAACCAATCAAAGGGCAGGCTTTCCCATGCATGGATGGCACTTCTGCTCCTGCTCACCATTGTGGTCTAGGTTGTTAAGCTGTACTGGAAGAGTCGTATGACCTGGACAGCTGCTGGCACAAGTCCTTGCACACTTGCCAGGGAACAGGGAGTAAGGCACGGCCTCACTGTCGGCTGGTGGGCAAACCGAGAGAGGAGCCAGTCCCCTGTGATGTCACAGACTTTTTTGAGACCAAGAAGCTTCAGGAGGCAGTGCTGTGGCTTTCTGGACCCAAACAACTCTGTCTTGCATAAGTACTGACAGCAACCCAGAGAGGACCCCAGGCTTTCTTCCCTCTGTGTCTGTACTTGGAAGGCCTAGCTGGTCCTACCTCGGTCAGCACCGATGCCATTCAAGGCAATAATACTTGATTTGGTGCCATTTGCCCTGTCCTTGACAGTGTGTGTACGTGTATGTGTGTGTGTGTAGTTGCACATGCAGGGTACACACACAACAGGACACACTGAGATGCTGCAGTCAGGGCCAAGTCTCGCCCTGGGTCCACAGCAAAGTCCCATTCCCCTGAGTCCACAGCCTTAGATTGTGAAAGGGAGGCTGCCTGGGAGGAGGCTGAGCATGGCAGCTCCTGTTTAGGGTCTGAGGGTGGAACTGGGTCACAGACTCTGCCAAGAGGTCTTGCCTCCGGAAATTTCTTTACCAAAACAGCATCTCGGGGCTTGCATTATGGTATTGCATGGAAAGCTGCCACCTACAAGGCCATTGTAATGCCGGTTGGCCCAAAGCTTGGGGACCTTGCACCCATGTGCGAGACCTGGAAGAAGTGCCCGGGCCCCTGTGCCCCCCATGTGGGACACCCAGATGGAGCTCCTGGCCCCTGGTTTTGGGCTGCCCGACCATGGCTGTTGCAGCCATTGTGGGAGTGAACTGGTGATGGAAGATGTCTTTCTATCTCTCTTTCTCTGTCTTTCTTTAACTTTGCCTTTAAGAGAATAAATAAGTCTTTTTTTAAGAAAAGCACCTCCTCTGCCTCCTGATTGCATTGAAGTCACATCTGTCCTCAAAGTCCAGTGAAAAGGAAAGTTGAGGACCCTGACCCATGGGACAGCAATGGTGACCTCTGTCCTCTGCAAGGACCACACCCCGTGCTTCTCTGGAAGCCACTTTCCACCTCCATAGCTGAACCAATAATAAAACCCGGCTCTGCCTGTCAGTTATGGAATGCCATGAATCATCCCAGCCCAGGCTCAGAGGCTCCTATATTGTCAGGATTGAGATTACTTTCTGAGCACGGGGGTTGAACACCCAGATACGCCACGAGGATCTGGGGTTACCCACAGCACTGCAATCTGCTGTACAGAGGTTCTGCCCAGGGACAGCAGACACTGAGTGCCACATGAGGTTGATTAGGGAATTGTTCTCAGCTCCTTTCTGTGAGCGAGTGATACCTCTCTCAGTAGAATCCTGACTCAATCTTGTGCTCTGTCAACCAAACTATGATTGATGTCGATGGTGTAGCCCCCGGCAAGTGTGCAAGGGCTTGTGCCAACAACTGCCCAGGGAGGGGGCGGTGACCCATAATGCAGGGCCATGGTGAGAACAGGGGGTTGGGGATACAACATATGCTGCCAGTGGTAGTTTGTGGAGAAGTCGGAGATTACCATGCTGTGCTGGGGCTGACTCTGCCTTCTGCTGTCCCAATCTCTCGTTCTGTAGCTGCTGCTGCAGGAGCCTGGCTCAACCCCCACACGCAGTTGTCTGTAATCAGTCATTCGTCTGTCTTCACAGACTGGTACTTCCAAACTTGGTGGAGCCCAACACGCTTGGAGTCTAGGGTCACCCAGCCCAGGAGTGCTCGGGCCACTGGAGTCGGTGGCTGGTGACATTTGCAGGCCAAATGCACACAAAGGCCCAGATTTGCAAAGTCAGAGCTGGGGCAGGTGCCTAGGCATACCCTGGCAGTACAGCCCAGAACCAGCACTACGAAGCTGGCACAAGGGCCCTTCTCTGTTCTCCAACACAAGCATGGAAGACATCCGGCCCTATGTCATCCTTTGGTCTGGCCCTCCCAAGGAAATCACAGGTGGGACTCAAAATTCAATAACTCCATAGCAGGTGAATGAATGATGCTATAAGTATCCAAACGGCTCTAGTGAGGGTGGGCAGGGAAACAAAGAAGGCCCCACGTCACCTTGGCTCTCTCTGCTGCCCCTGGCATTTGCAGGAAGCATAGAATGTGGAGTACCAGAAATAACTGCCAGTGGCCAGAGTGTACAGGTAGGAAAGCAAAAACACAAAATAAAACACCCAAGGGTAAGACTAGGGTTTGCCCTGGATGCATGTTTCCCATCAGTGTGGGAGTCGGCAGAAAACACCTGCTGAGCTCAGCTAGGGAACCGACTTCCAAACCCAGAGAAAACGAAACCCTCTAGAGGCCCTGCTGGCATCACACGGTCCCACCACCCGAGACATAGAGGGGATGCTGTACACACGTGTCCTCCACCATTCAGTGCATGCCTGCTTCCTTATCCTACAAGGGCAGAGCCGAGACCTTCCCTGATCCCCCAGGGTGCCTGGTTTCCCCAGCTCCACACCCTTGCCAGCCAAGCACGGCTGGCTGACGGAGGACTTACCTCATGCGACAGGTAGAAGGCAGCGATGCCCAAGGGCCAAAAGCAGCAGAGCATGGAGAAGACGCTGAGCCCCAGGTGGTCCCGAGGGGGCATCATGAGGAAGTTGTCCTCGCTCTCGGTGTCACTCGAGTAGTCGCTCTGCAACAAAGAGGAGAGATCTGTGAGGAACCCTTCCCCGCCCCTCCGCACCTCCGCAGCACAGTGCAGCGGAGGGGATGGGTTCTGCTCCTGGCTGCAGCCCATCCTCTGGGCAATGTGCCTGGTGCCATTGTCGCAGCCAGCAAGTTGACACCAGAGTCATCAGGCAGCACTCGAACAGCATGCTCTGGGCAGGGCATCTCTCATAGAAAACAGGAAGACAAAACCACCTACAACTCCCTCTTATCGGTGGGGACACGTTTTAAGCCACCATGCAGAGTGTATGCCCAAGACCTCACAGAGCACCAAACCCTAGACACAGCCCTCGCTCGGTGTGTTTCACGCATGAGTACAGTAAGCAATGAATACCACTCACAATGCAACAGAACGACCATGACCACATAATAGTGCCAGCATGGTGGTTCTGCCCTGGCAGCCACGTGGTAGGCAGCATGGACAGACAACACAGTCACGCTGTTCTAAGTTCATTTTGTGCACTTAGCAGGCCTGGACATTGGGCGCAAAGCTGAGACTCCGAGAAGTTAACACCTACCTAGGGATGTGTAGCAGTGCCCACGTTAGCCTGGAGTTCTCTGTCTCAAGGTCCCTGCGCCTAACAATGTGTCCAGGTTGCACATGCCCCACCTCCATGGCTTCTCCATGTGGCTCCACCCTCTGGGCGGGGGCTCTGAGAACCACGCTCCTGAGACGGCCACAGTGGTTGTTGGCAGTCTCTTCTATTGGACAGGCATGCAGAGGGCATTGGCATCTGACTTTACAACCACCTTACTCTGTTTTCTGTTAGAACTAAATGCCTGAGGCTGGGTAACCATTTGTTATACATGTTTGAGTTACTAATGTGAAAATCAGAGCTACAGAGAAAGAGAGAGAGAGAGATTTTTCATCTGTGGGTTCACTTTCCAGATGGTTTCAATGGCCAAGTCTGAGCCAATTTGAAGCTAGGAGCCACAGCTCCTGGTTGCTGTCTGGCACAACTCCAGCTCTTGTGGCCATTTGGGCAGTGAACTAGCAGATAGCTGTGTGTATATAACTTTGCCCTTCAAAAGAAATAAATACATAAATCTTAAAAAAAAAGCTATACGATATTTGTCCTATTGGGATTGACTTATTTCACTGAGTATAATGGTCTCTAGCTGGGACCATTTGGTTGCAAATGGTAGAATTTCAGTCTTTTTCAATGGCTGAGTAGTATTCCATGAAGAGGATTACCACAGTTTCTTTATTCCTTCTCTTTTGACATGCATCTGGGCTGTTTCCAAAAGCAAAAACAAAAGAAAAAAAAACGCACTATGTATAATACGCAAAATCTGTTCCTTTCACATAAATAAGTAAAGCAAACACATAAATAAATAGTGTATACATTATGAGGTCTGGCCCTGCCAAGACAACCACAGTTGGGACTAGAAATTCAATCATTGATGACAGCAAGTTATTTTGTAGCTTGATCGTTCTGCGTGGTCTGCAATTAATGTCATGAATATCCAGAAATTGTTCCTGGCAGAAAAAAAAGATTGTCCACCTCCTGAAAACATAAAAGTGGCTCCAGACTACCTCCTTTTGTCCAGCGTCCTGTCACTGACCACAGAGAAAGAACAATGAACACTACACGAAGATACCACTTAAGTCTGCTGAGCTGTGCGGCATCAAAAGCACAGTGGAGCACACGTGTCATGCGACCACAGGCACCAGCTGATGGGGATGGAGCTGGCTGTAACAACATTACGGATGCCTTCTCCTTTCTCTTCTCTTTTCCCCGAGTACGTGCATCTGTATTCTTGCACGTTGTCACTCAGATACATCCATGTGCCTCCGTGCACATGCATTGCTCAGAGGCGGTGGGAACCCAGTATCCAAGGCACTGGAGTAGCAGTGAGCACCCTAGTCAACCATGCCACAGGAACTGATGGTCACAAAGTGATACACTACAGCTAAAGGATGCCAGAGGCCACCAAGAAGGAGCTCCTGCTGTGACAACAGGACACAGTGAGTATCATAAGAAATAGAAAATAAATCCATGTAGTAACCCCTGGGATAGAAACAAAGCAATAAGAGGGAGAAAAAACAAAACAAAAGAAAAAACCCAAGAATAAGAGAAGGAGAACTGGTTCTCATTTGGACAAAAGCATGGCTTGCAAAGTTCTTCAGTACCAATGTAAACTTTTCTTTTAATCCCACTTTTTTTTTCACAGATGAACTGCAATGCAGAAAGAACTGCACATTAGACACTTATTGCAGGATGCTAGAGTCAGCAGGTATAGGGCCACAAAAAGAATTTCCCACAATCCTACACGGCCTCCCTACAGAGCAGCATTGTTGTGTAGTTCCAGGAAGCGTGTGACCAAAAGTCTCCTGCAGGCACAACAGAGAGAACAGATACCATGGGTTCCTGATGGAGTGTCCCGAAAGGTACCCCCATTTCTCTCATCGCTGACCTGTCCTCTGCAGAACCATCAAGGTTACACAGGACCAGAGAAAAAAAATGCAGGGGCTGTTCCAGATGAAGGCGACTTAAAGAGACAAGCAAAGGAAATGCCAGGTGAGACCCTGAACCGGAGATGGGATCCGAGTTCCCCCTCCTTTTGCCACAACAGATCTTAAAGTCAGATCCACAGGCTAGAGGCAAGCATTGTGGCAAGGCTCATTTCTTGGCTTTTTGACAAAGTTTTATATGTTTTTCTTGAAAGTCAGAGAAAGGGAGGGAGAGACAGAGAAAGATCTCGCATCCGGGGGTTCAGCCCCCAGATGGCCACAATGGCCTGAGCTGAGCTGGTTCAAAGCCAGGAGCCAGGAGTTTCTCCCAAGTCTCCCATGAAAATGCAAGGGTCCAAGGCCCTGAACCATTCTCCACCGCTGCTTTCTCAGGACAGCATCAGGGAGCTGGACCAGAAGTGGAGCACCTAGGTCTCAAACTGGTGCCAAGTGGAATGCTGGCATTGCAGGTGGAGGAATAGTTTGCTATGCCACCACCCCAGTCCCAATTTCCTGACTGCTGTTTTCAGTCTTGACTTCCATCACCAGTAATGGCTAATTCAGAGAGTAATGGGACATCCTATCCATAACCACCTGCTGATAGCAAGGGGAGAAAATATGTACACCAGTCAAATGGTGAAATAGCTGTGATGTACTTCCCAGACTGAAGGAGGCTAGGGAGCAGTATACCGAAATCTATTCTTGCAACTTTTCTGTAAGTCTGGAATCATTTCAAAAAATCAAAAAAAAACCCCTCACAAGCTAGCCATTTTGGCAGAAAAATACACTTTAAATTGAATTTTCTCCCCTTCGGAGATTCAGCACTGCATATTTTTTTTCTTGATTTCTTTCCATTGTGGTTTAATGGAAATACTGTGAACCCTACTGGAAAGAAATGGAAATCCATGGCACATGAATAATTCATTTAGCATTGCAATTTGCTATTTCATCAAGTTTGTCCTTTTCATGCTGCTTTGAGAAGCCACTGGTGGTGCTTTGTTTCACACACCTGTGTGTGGGGACATGGTAGGACAGGTGTGCCAAATCAAATCAAAGAGGGGACTGGACCAGGGACCAGCATGAGGTCAGAGGGGGCTTCCCAAAGGGTGAAGCCAGTGCTATTACCAGGCTCCCCAAGAAAAGACTCTTGGGGGAATGTGGCAGCGGATGGCTGGCTTGTGACCTGGTGACTGGCACCACCTCTAAGACACGGGAGCATAGGAGCTGTGTGTGCTGAACAGCAACGGCAAAGCTGCAATCTACAGGGAGAAGAGGGACGCACCAGGAGGCGAGAGAACCAGGTGGGATGCAGACCTTCCCAGGAGCTGAGCAATATGGTCAGACCACCCACACTGTCCTGTTGTCAAATGCTGCGGGAAGCAGGTAGGTCAACACCGCATGGTCTCCTCCTTGAAGGAACCAGTAGCAATCGCTGCCATCTGTGTCCTGCCTGACCCTGTCCTCTGCCCTCGAGAACCCGAGAGCCCAAGGTCTGAGTGAGGCTCACAGCTGCCTTGCTCCACAGCATGCAGAGTGTGGGTGCCACCTGATGGTCTGTCTCCTTTGCCCTCTCCATGTTTTGCAGGCTTTGCCCAGTTGTCAGCCCTGTAGAGCTTAATGGCATAAGTTTTCCCATCTGCCACAAGGGAAAAAAAGATACTGGCCAAAAGGGAAAAAAAGATACTGCCCCCAAGTGCTCCGAGGGCTCCAGTAACCACCTGTCCAGACTCTTCCTGCCCTTTCTGGTGAGCCCTGGGTGATGGTCCTGGACCGGCTCCCCAGCTTGTAAGAACTAAACCATTTTTCACGCTTGCCTTGGTACAAAATCCAATTATACAGAAAATCCTTGCTTCCTTATCAAGACACAGGCTGAGGACTTCAAGGTCGTTATCAGCCTTTCACAAAAGGTTTATTTGAAAGGCAGAGAGAGAGAGAGGAAATGGCCCTTCCATCTTTTGGTTTACTCCTCAAATGGCTACAACAGATGGGGCTCATTGGGGCTGAAGCCAAGAGCCAGGAGCTCCATTAGGGTTCTGTCATGCACATGGCAGGCACCCAAGTATTGGGGCGGTGGGTCACCATCTCCCAGACGAGCCATTGGGGAGTGGATCAGAAGGGAGCATGTGGGAATCAAGTCAGCCCAGACATGAGGTGCAGGAGGCCACCACACAGCAATGTCCATCACCACATACAGCTGTCTACCCCCTGCCACTGTACAGCACATGTTGATGCTGTACACTTAGCTCCAGACTAAAGAGCAGAGGAGGAACAGTACAACTCATTAAAGGGTCAGCATGATAGCTTAGTGGAGAAATCCTTGCGTTGTCAGCACTGGGATCCTGTATGAGCACCAGTTTGTGTCCTGGCTGCTCCACCATTCAGTTCAGCTCCCTGCCTATGGTCTGGGAAAGCAATTGAGGACAGCCCAAAGCCTTGAGCCCCTGTACCCGGATACCCAGAATAGGCTCCTGGCTTCGGATTGGCCCAGCTCCGGCCATTGTGGTCACTTG